TCAGTAGAAAGGCCAGCTCTAAAACCGAACTGGGCATCATGCAACTTTATGTGTTTCACAAGAATATTATTAAGCAGGCTATCAAGCACCTTCGCGATTACCCGTACCACTGAACTCCTCATGTATCCTGTTTAGCATCGGTAAATCATGGGGCATAATCCACGTCTCCTGAAGGGCAATTATGTCTCCCTTATCACATAAACCTTTAAGACCTTCCCATGATCGCTTTACAGACTTGCAATTGTAGGAGATGATTTTTGTATTTCGCAATCTATCCATTAAAATTATTTAACTACGCCTCATTGGATCATTCATGTTGATAAAACGCCTGAACGAAATACCAGTCGGCCACAAATTATCATTTAAAAAGGTGCATACTTGTGTTTTGCTCACATAGAACTTAAAGGCGCTATAGTTCCTTTCCTTTGCCATTTTAATTTTAACCCTAGAAAGATAACCTACGCTTCAGAGGCGCCCGCGTCGGTTTAACATCGCTGTCTCTTTGTAATGAGCGCGCGTATTTACCTGTCCTTTTAAGTTAGCTCAGTGGTCGGTGCACTGAGTCGCGGGACGGCCGTTTTTACGCGGTAAGTACCATAGTTTTGCAGTTATGACTAAGTGTTGCGCTCCAAAGGCGCATGGTTATCTTTTGTGTGACTTTTAGTAAAAGTATGAACTTGTTTATACTTACATAAAATGTTTATTTTAACTGTTTATTTCTTTGTTTTAGTACAAAATCTTTTTACTTTCATTATGACGAGTCGGAGGACACTTTCTGATGATGCAATATATAGGTTTATCGCTGAAGAGGAAGAGAAGGAGCGTGAACTAGAACCTGGAAGTGACAGTGAGAATTTGAGTGAAGGTGACATACAGAGTGATTTCGAAAACGAGTTTATAGATGATGAGGTGCCACAACAATTGAATGATACACAAAATGAAGACGATATAAGTCCATCTCGTATCTTCAGAGCTCACTGGAATTTCGACCAAATGTGTTCTTCAATGTCGTGTTCGAGGAAAACCAATAGATGGCCAATGTGTATGTTTTATGGCATTCTGAACATAGAATTCGTCAATTCTTATGTTATATATTGTCACAACATTCTTGCTAAAAATGAAAAGCCTCTAAATAGAAGGGGTTATATGAAAAACTTAAGCGCCCAGTTATTTGAATCGTGGATGTAGGAAAGACTGAAAGCTCCTACTTTGCCAAAGCATGTGAGAGATAATATCGTTAGTATTCTTCAGAAACCGGTTGTACATAACGATACAGATAACGAAGAAGAACCTCCAGCAAAGAAAAGGCGGTATTGCACCTTTTGCACTAATAAAAAAAAGAATGTCTAAGGTAAAAATGCAAGAAAACAGTTTGCAGCGAACACAAAAAAGATGTTTGTTTTGAATGCCTATCAAACCAAATTTGAGCCTAACAATTGCAGTTCTGACTGATTTTTTTAGTTGATTAGTTAGTAAGAAATGACTTGATTCGTTTATAAGAAGAAATAAAAAACATTTTTGATACTATGTTCCTGTAAACAGAAGACTGCTAATTTTGTTAATTTTTTCTAGAGATTTTTTTGATTCAAGTTTTATTTATAAAATATAAAAAATATTTCACTAAAAATGTTTTTTATTATTAGTTCATGAAACATGTTTCAAAAAAAATAAGTAAGTAAATACAATAAATAGGTATTTCATTAAAAAAATATATATTAATATTTTGTGCGCCTCCGAAGCGCATGGTTATCTTTTGTAACAGTCAAAATATGGTTATCTTTCTAGGGTTAATAGGGGCAACTTCCTCGGCGGTTTTTGACCTGATATACTCCGCTACATCTGCTTCTGTGACTTCCTTATGAACATTCGTGATGAAGAGGGGGATTTTGATGTCAGCCGCCTTAAACTTACAATTTTGATCTAAATCCGCTTTGCCCTTCAATGTTGCAAATTTATTTGTATTTTGAGAGCGTATTCTTTTTTTTCTAGTTACCTGCACCCATTCACCCGGTTGTTCCGACTGTAACTGTAAATCGTCCCTACGAATCACATCCACAAAAGATGTTCGTACCCGTGGTGATCTTCTTCATTTCGATTCAATACCGTGGCTACACAATTGTTTACATCACGACCTGTCAGTTTATCCTGCTTTCTCTCTCCTGCACGTATCGCTAACTCACTTTGATCGATAAGCGCGTCATCGCTCGGTGACATTGTCATACTTTCACACTCGTGCGCATCCGTTCTCAGTGGGTGCGAGTGAGATGGGCTACGACCGCCCTTGTCTAATGGCACCTGCGCCTGTGATACCTCCACAGCTGATTTCAATGTCACCGCCCGCTACCCGCAATGTAAACAATTTTTTCTTCTTTGTCTTTTACTGACTCCTCTAAAGTGAAACTCGATAACTTACTTTCAAGCAGTTCTTTTGACACATAACTTTCTTGAATATCTTTCACTTGGGAACTTATTAAGAGCAATTTCTTTAACAAACCGGTTACATCAATATGGTCAAAGGTCACAGGTGGCAGCCTTTGTAAATCCTTAGCAACAAAAACTGGCATTATTTCCGGGTCAATACTTTTAATTACAATCACTATATCATCCAGGTCTTTTTGCATCTTGCTCTCACCTTTCCCTTTCCTTTTTACGTTTCGGATATCCGTAGTAATGGAATCGAATAACAATTTCTTCGATTTCTCCACTTCCTCAGCATTAAAAGCAGTCACGCACAAACGTAAGAGACTATCATGGTATAGCTTACTCTATAGACATAAATTTGACCATTACACAAATCAGAACAATACAAAGCTTTTTACATACATACATGACCTCACGCCTGTCTCCAATGAGGTTAAGCCAAGATTATAAAATGCCAATAGTTACGATTCTTACATACCTCTTTCGCTTCATCAGACATTGACTTGTCTTTTCATGCATGTTCGTCGGCCAAGGGTAATTTACGAAGCTTTTTATGCCCTTAAATGTTAAGAAACAAAGACCTATTTGAACCATTGACCACGCAGGCACCATTTCTGATTTTTCAATGCCTACTACGGTGAGATTCTAGAAGTCTATTTCGAACTCAAAGTAACTAGTACTAATACTTAGGCATCAATTTTACGAAGAATTACGTTTATTAAAAATAAACGCATAACCTACAAATAATCTTTGAGCATTATGAAAAAATAACCCTGTCACAAGGAAATTGTCGTACTCGAGGTTCACCGACTTCTAACCTGTCAGTGGGTGGGTAACCTATCAGTACTAATAATAGTTATTTTTTGCTTTTTAGTTTTGACTTTTTGTTTGTTATTAGTTTTTGGTTTTTTGAAGTCGGTTTTTTAAACGCAGTTTTTATTTTATTATGGTCTTGAAATGTTCGTGGAAGTCCAGGGAAGGTTTAAAAAATATTTGGCGGTACGAAGTATATCAGTTCAGCTAGTATATAGATAAATGTACGGCGCGTCGCGTTCAGCGCGCGCCAACTCAAAGAGCCATCAGTCCACCACGGATGGGGCCCAATAGGGCTGATGCCGATACGCAGCTGCGGAGAACCTAACGGGTGACAGGGGCTCCGGCTCGAAGTGCAGGAGTAGGAATGGGGTGGATTTAGTCAGTAAGAGTGTGACACTCCCTCCCGCCTCACCCAGGCGGGAGAAGTCATTTGATGATATTCCCCCCTTAAAAAAAGTATATACTTAGATAAATATGTATATATAGATACTAATTTCGCGAAGAATAATCTCCATTACAAGTTACAAGCCATATTGACCTTTGACCATTAGAAAACAAGAAATAAAATCCAATGAACCGAAAACAAAACACGGCTATTCATCTTCGTTTTCCATTGCGCCAATTTCGCGGTTACTTTATTCAATTTTCGCAGTCCAGTCGAAAATTCCACTATTTCGTAAAACTGATAAAATGCAGCGCCGTATTAAAATGCAGGCGACGCGACGTTGGCTGACGCGATTACCATATTAATCTGAAATACTTCGTGGAGGGTGAAAATATTCAGTAAAGTCGGATAGCCTCGTGTTTTACAGCAGTCAGCTTAACTGGCAGCTACTGTAGCATTAAATCAGCTGACTTTTGGGAATATTAATTATGAACAGTTCTGGGGAAATGAATAAGTAATTGGTGTATTTCGTACTTTTATGGCATGATAGTGCAATATATTATTATGACATAGTCTGTTCGTTGGCCGAGTGGTCGCAAGTACCTACGACTGCGCACGTTTTTTTAATTCTAAGTAGTACATAGCACGGAGTCTGGAATGTGTCCGGTATATGGCAATAGGCTCACCCCGTATTAAATGGAAATCATAACATAAAAGTGAAAATTGGGTTTACATTGTAAGTGCCGTAATGTGCATCTCTGCATACCCCTTCAAAGGTTAAAGGATGTTCTGTTATGTTATGTTATGCAATACAAAAACAATTTTTGATATTAATGTTATAACTTTTGTGAGACAAACTAATTTAAGTTGTCAAATAATTACGTGATTATTATATGGCGAATTATTGATAGTTATCAGTTTATAGCGATATATATTGGTGCCTCGTTATTTAAATCAAGCTTATTTTGTAAACGATGTTAGATAAGGATTTCGAGAAACAGGAATAGACAAAACCCAAATATCGAAACGGACTGACCAAAACCGAAAAAGATAAAAATACTTCTGAAAGTAGAATAAGACGATAAGAACTTTGTTTAAAAAAAATCTATTCATTGAAAATCACACTTCTATAAAAACATTTCACGAGAAACGGTTTTCCATCATCATCATCATCATCAGCCCGTGTTCGTCCACTGGGCATAGGCCTCTCCAAGGATATAGGGCTTATAGAGGCTTCTCCTCTAGGTGGACTGACGACATCCGCAAGGTAACTAGCAGTGATTGGATGAGAAGAGCTGAAGATCGAGATCAGTGGCCTGCCATTGGAGAGACCTATTTTCCATTAGCTTCATTAAACATTTTAACTATTCGTACTCACCCTGTCAGCGACTCCGCCGGGCAGCACACTCTTGACGACCACGCCGGAGGAGCGGCCGCCCACGATGCCGAACGCCAGCCCCGACCCATCGTTCACCAGCTCCACCACCTCCACCTGAGCCCATTCGCCAAACACCTGCTGTAGGATGAATAAGAACATTAGTTTAACAGTAATTAGGTCTGTTATTGCCTAAATGGTTATTGGCTCGTCCCCTATCATATGAGACTCGTAATATGACTAGATAATAGTAATAACTAGATAAAAGTAATTGTTTCATTCATGTTTTCTTCTTCATGGCATAAAATATGTGTTTATAATAACCATCGTGAGACATACTAAATTAACTAATAATCGCGGATGTCGCGCAGCCTACTATCGCTGCGACCGCGCACGCTGCTCATGAGGAAGAACCCCTCTGTTGTTCGAAACTAGTAGAGCTTTTCTCAGTAAATTCACGTGAGTTACCCGCGATTTTTAGTTAATAAAATATGTGATAGAAAATAATAAAGTTGTTCGAAGAGGTTAAAATCTATAACTACTTTTTTTCCTGTAGATCGTAGCAAACCAATTACCTTATTGGCTATGTGCAAAGCGAGTAGTGGCGGACAGATAACGACCGCAGCGCACAACACGGCAGAAATTGGAAACAAATGCGGATGATGCAAACCCGGTTTTTATTATTATATTCATTTTACAGTAAAACTATTGAATAAATTGCACTTAAATACTATTTTAATCTTTGGTTTTATTAATATTTGCTGAGAAAATTATAATGTTTACATTATTATTATTTGACAGCTTCCGCAAATGTTGTAAACGCTACGCGTCGCCACCGTCGCGCACATAGATCTTAGAAAGAACTGAATGATTTTTGAATGAAAATACAGATAGTGCTAGTTCATAGATTTCATCGGAGCAACATAGTTTTACATTCTATCTAAACATGTTTCCCAAACACATTGCTAGCTATTGTATTATGAATAGAATCAGAAGCTGCAGCAATATTTGGCTGGTAGCTGGTGCCATCCTCCGGGGAAATAACATCCACTCCTTGCATGGCTGCTCGAGTGAAAACACATTATACAGCTTACTGCTTCTCATTGCTTTTTGTATTGAATTTTATTATTTAAAGCTTACATTATCTTTAATATTACATGTTGTTTCAAATTTGGTTCTGATTATTTTCTATTCAGCAGCTGTAGCCAAATGCCATTTAGCGCTTGTCTACAGCGAGAGTACAAAACTAAATGTATGGGGATGACACTGACAAGTCAAAATTTACGTCAATTCCATATAATTTAGTTTTGTACTCTACATGTAGACAAGCGCTAAATGGCATTTGGCTACAGCTGCAGGCTATATTCAACTGTTCAACTGTTCATAATATTATATCGTGTTACGATTGTAAGTTGCCCTTACTAATTAATTCAAAAATTATTATAGTTATGAAGTCCTTATTTTATCGACATTAAGTAAGTACTGAAACTCTTGTATTTTTTTTTATTTAGTTTACAATACCATTTACAAAATTACCTTACAAAGTTCTGCATTGTTTAAAACTTTACATATAAACCAACCTTCTCGTTAAATTTTAATCAACTCAACACCAGCCTATAAGTGGCCACTGCTGACCAAAGGCCTCCTCTTACATGGAGAAGGTTTTAGATTGAATCGCCACGCTTGCTCAATGCGGGTTGGCGGTTTCAAACTTGTAATTAGAAATTATAACTTAAGATTTCCTCACGATGTTTTCCTTCACCGTTAGTCATTGGTGTCTATATAATCTTAGAAAGTTCATATAACTCGGAAAATGTCACATTGGTATTTGCTGTTGATAGGTTTTGAAACCGCATCCTCATCCATGACAAGTCTTAAAACACCAAAACTATGTAACTAGAGAATTGTATTGTGAACCTGATTGAAAAAGAGTAACCTATGGAGTTTCTTGCTCGTTCTTCTCCATAGGAATCTACACCTTGGAATGAGCAAATAGCTTCACTTTTATTTTGTTTTTGTTGACGTTCAAAAGTGTCTTTCTGGTCTAATTGAAATAAATGACTTTTTGACTAAACCTTCGGGCCACCACGACTCAATTCTAAATCAAAAATAGTAATTATTTCCTACCAACACAGTGAATACATTCATAAACCTCCTTCAAGTATTTATAAAGTACCTTCATAAAGCAATACCGATTATCTACGCTAATAAAAACGTCAAATCATAATCTCTTCGATATATCCAATGCATCCATCCAGCTACTTATAACTTTGACATCATCCAGCATCTTCTACCCACTTGAACTTTTTCCAGAAGAAATTGGGTCAAGGTGTTTAAGGCGTCCTCAATATACTGACGTGACGTCACCGAATATTGGCGCCGCATGACTTTATTAGAGACAATTAATTTAATCTATTTTCACGTCATCATACATAGGTACGTGAAGACACGCCTTAGTTTCATGGATAGGGAACTGCGTGACGTCACTTGGATGTTTGCAATTTTCATTGCATCATATATCCGCCTGATCGTAATTAAATACTCGCTTATGAAAAAGCCCGTTAAGCTGTGCCTATTATTTCATATGTATTACCTTAACATGCAAATAAAGAGTTTGAGTTTATTAAAAGCTTTTGGCCTCTAGGGAAGTCAGTGTCATATATTCTCACAGTTTGTTCCCAAAATTTTCATAGACTCCGTAGCGATTCTTTTAACATCATTTAGCCTAGTATTTGTTAACAGTAGGGGCAAGTCCCTTAACGCCGGACGGCACCTAACGCCGGACACTTGTATTATCTCAATAACTAATAACGCGAGCGATTCAATTTTTAGGGGGAAGTCTCCTAGTGGTAGACACCTAAGATTTTTATTGACGTGACAACGTCTTATAAATTGGTTTGCCGGGTGACACTTCAAGAAACTGCGTTACGCTCCGCTCACGTTATGCGCTCACAATGAGAGCGAGTGAGAGGCACGCGTCCCTTCCACTCAGGCATGGTTAGCCCGCCTAAGAGCGAGAGAGACAGACATAAAAATTTCATCCTTCTTCCTACTATACGAATGAATATTCACATTAAAATTATTTTACCACTCAAAGTCGTTGTCACGTAAAACTTTCGCCCGTATACCGACTTTTTAGTAAAAATTGAATCGTTCGTGTTATCAGTTATCGAGGTAATACAAGTGTCCTGAGTTAGGAGCCGTCCGTTACGGGACTCTCCCCTACATCTGGTTCTTCTATTCGAAAATTTTCATTAGTAGCGACGACGACGTTTGGAATGAGGCTCATCCCACTAAGTTCATCCACTATTGTCTGCGTAAAACAACTTGTATAATAGCTCTTACCATGACACTAAGCTGACGATGAACAGTTGGACAATGACGTCAATTTACGTTTGAGCATAATTGATACTTTATCTAATCTAGTGTCTCACCATGATGCGCTTAATTCGCCTCTTGCTGCGAGGCCGGCGCGGGCGACTTTCCGATCAGCTGACTTTCTCCGCCATAGCGCTGTCTCATTGACAGCTTTGACGGAAACTGCCGAAGGTTACCGAACGCGCTACGGGAGCAGACACACGTACTGCCGCGTCGCACATTATTTTTGAATCTTTATTCTACTTTATATGGAGTTTTGGTGATGATTCGTTGTTTGAGGACGCTGTAACAAAGAAAAAAATATTATTAAAATTTCATCTATTATAGATAGAGATTTGTGGAAATTTAAGTTTGCACAGCTCACGGCCTGTATCTTCACTCAAGAATGACGCTATCCTCCAAAAAACGTGCGGATTTAATGGGTTGCCGAGGTTCCAGCTCGAAGTGCAGGAGTAGGAACGGGGTGGTTTTTAGTCAGTAAGAGTCTGACACCGTCTCGTCTCACCTGGGCGGGAGAAGTCATTGGATGATTCTCGTTCCCCACCCCCCAAAACCCTTCAAAAACCGTCGTATGAAAATCCATTCACTAGTTTCTGAGATTATCGGAAACGGACTCTGCGGAGGACTTAGTTCAATGTAAAGATTAAGTTATTTCAGTTGGTCTTCACCTCAAAGCAAAAGCTACCTAAACTAACAAAACATAAAGAACATTTTTCTATAAATATTTATTTACTGTCAACAGTGTCGTTATAATACAGTTCTGAGACGATATGAATTTCACCAAGATAGGAACAAAATAACGGAGCCAGGCAATTTGAATATTTAGTTCACTACTGATACATATCAAAATAAGGCGGATTGGTGACAAAATACATTATTTTACACGTCATTTATGGTAACACCTCGTATAAACTAAATACATTGTTACAATAGGTACACAGGTTCCAATTTCGTGACAGGCGAAGTATTTTTTGGTATGTAGGTTTTAAAAGTTCTGTGTTCAATAAGATAAGTCTGAAAGTTGTGGCTTTAAAGTCAAAGTCAAAGCATTTATGTCAATTTTCAATTAATCTTTAATTAGGCACTTTTGAAACGTCAAAAATTTGATTGTCCTTCTGTCTGTCAAAGTCAAAATCATTTATTTCAATTAGACCACAAACGCACTTTTGAAGGTCTAAACAAAATATTGAAATTTCAAAAAAAAAACTGTCGGTCAGTCCTCTGGTGAAGCAGCAAATACTCGTTCCAAAGTGTAGATTCCTATAGAGAACGAGCAAGAAACTCCATAGGTTACTCTTTTTCAATCAATTTCACAATACAATTCTAGTGAAGCTAGGTGTTCATTCTAAAGTGTAGTTTCGACTGGAGAAGAACGAGCAAGAAACTCAATCGACATTCTTTTATAGTACTCATTTATATACTACTCCCATCCATGCCATCTTAGGAGACTCAAAACAAAACGGCGAAAAGGAAATATTTATTATTTCCTCTGCCTACCTATTTTTTTTTAAGGAGGAAATTCATCGATTAACTTATCTCGCCTGGGTGAGGCGGGACGGAGTCTCCGACTCTTACTGACTGAAAATCACACCGTTCCTGCTCCCGCACTTCGAGCCGGAGCCCCGGTAACCTTCTGCCTACCTCTACGGTAAATAAAAGGAATGATGTAATTACTTCTTATATAAAACACGGCTAAAGAATTTCACCAACCATTATTTTAGTACACACAAAATTTGCTTTAAAAACATCACCTATTAGCAAAATTTACATAAACAACACATTTTCCTGGGAAAACTACATAAATACACACACATACATAATTATAGAATACAACAACACTTTAGTAGTTTTCAACAAAACAGTGGCGAGGCGAGACGAGGCGAGACGAAGAAGGCACGTGGCATAAAACATACGCGCATACACTACGAAGTTTGTAAACCGAGACGAAAATACGCGGCCGAAATATGAAGGAGCTTGAGTTAGAGTTGGTTTACATTTGGTTGAACCATCATGTTTACTGACTATTGGCCGTTAAAGAAACTTAAGAAGTAAAGAACTAAAAGGTAGTAGAAATTGATTATTTATCTCTGATAAAGATTGTAGTAACTGGTTTGTAGGTTCAACCCCTGTAAAACGAAAGCATGAGTAAACATGACGGCCTGACCTAATGTAAGCCGAGCCTAACTGTGTTATGATTTGTTGTGAGAACTGACGGGCGGATAACAAGACGGAATTGGGGCTCGAGTGTTACGGAATTGTTATCGAATTGGCTTGTGATATTATGTTATGTAATCTTTTGTTACAGGGAGATTGAATTATAGGTTTAGTAGTGTTTGCTTGTAGTCAGTATAGGAAGGTAGGTGATGCAGATCATTTTGTTAAGAGCTTGCATTAGCATGTTGAGACTGAGTTCTGTAAAATGATAAACTGGATTTTTTACCGTGGGATGGTCTACTGGAATCTTTGACTGTGAAGCTATCAATAATGGTGAGTCTTTTTTTGGTCATCACCCCCAGTTTTACACGGGTGTCGCAAAATCCGTCTTAACATTTGATAGAGGGTAGCGAATACCATTAATTTCTGAACTTGAACTTTTAAAATTGGTATCTTAAACCCTTGCCAAGCGAGGAAATAATTGGGTACTTGCTTGCATCAAAAATAAATAATTTCGACTGTTCAATACAATAAGATATTAAAAAATAATCACACTTTCATTATTTGATTTTATGACCAACTCAATTTTAGTAGTTCTCCAGCAATTTTTTAAGAAATAAGTACGCTGTTTGACGTTACAACACACAATCTCGTACAAAATTCATAGAAAACTGTCGTTTTTGACAGTTCGAAAAAAGTATTTTTTTTGTCCCACACTAGGATTTTCTCCTGTGTCGTGGGTGCGTTTACAAACATACAATATCACATACACATGACACCCAGACCCGGAAAAACAATCTGTGGATCACACAAAGAGTTGTTCCGTGCGGGAATCGAATCCGCGACACGTTGCGCGGCAGCCAGTTGCCCAGCCACCGCGGCAACCGTGCAGTCATATTGAATTTGACCTGCAAGTAGGACACATATCGTACACATACCGTACGTAATCTAGCAGTGGACAGTCTGACTTTTGATGACCACGTCACAGATTCACCAATTCAAGGAAAACATCACACAGTTTTTCAAAAGCGAACTCTAGAATCGCATTTCCATGAAGGTTGGATATCAGTGGGAAGCTGTGTCTCGTCATAAAGGTCGAGAGGTCGTTCGTCGCCGGTGGCGCCACACTGACCCACTTACTGGAGCTACGGCCGGGGCGGGAGTGTGTTGGGATCGCTTCCGATAGATAGCTAGCTAGACAGTATGCGAGGGTAAGTAGGTGGTGTTTATTGGCAAGATTTTGCAAGTTGTAGGTTTATTCGAAACTAGGTTCTGTCCGCGACTTCGTACGCGCAATCCCGTATTATCCCGTTCCCGTTCGTGATTTTCGGTAAAAAGTAAAAAAAATATTGGATAACAAGTATCATATATCCGTCTCCAGGCAATAAGCTACCTCCCCACCAATTTTCATCCAAATCGATTTAGCCGTTCTTGAGTTATAGAGTCAGTAACTAACACGACTTTATTTTATATAATAATATATAGATTTTTTTTTAAGGGGGGAAAATCATCGAATAACTGCTCCCGCCTGGGTGAGACGGAAGGGAGTGTCAGACTGTTACTGACTAAAAACCACCCCGTTCCTTCTCCTGCGCGTCGAGCCGGAGCCCCGGTTACCCGTTAGGTTCTCCGCGACTCCGATAATATATAGATTTGACTTATTATTTGTTTATTTGCGTAGTATCGAGTGATTTGTTGATTTAAATTTTGAGTAGTCGCAAGTGTGATCAGCAAGATCATAGAATCTCGGGTTCATTTCGAGATCTTGGAAAAGCATTAATGTGTTTTTATTTGGTAAAAGTTTTAGTCACACACGGAGTCTAGAAATGACAATAAACTCACCCTTTATAGCATGAAAATTAACGCATGAGTGGTAAAAAGTTCATAAGTATTTAAACCTAGCTGTTTTCATTGAATTATAATATTTTTTCAACTCCATTATTATCCATTATTAGCCCAATTATCCTCCCCTTCCCCAATTCCTGAATCCCCAACGATCCTCAAACTCCTAATTCCCCCAAAGGAATTAAAGTCTAACGCACTTATAACGCCTCTGGACCCTCTGGTGTTCCAGGTGTCCATGGGCGTGTCCAAAAATCTATTAATTTCAGAACCTATTCATTCCATGCAAATAAACAACAAGTATAATCTTTGGTCTTTATAATACCCACCAGTGTAGGTAACTACGTAAAATGCCGTCTACAAAATACATCCACAAATAAGTTCTCCCAAAGGACATTTAGAGTATAAAGTATTCATGTCATCTTGCGCAGATCTCTCGTCATAAAGTAACTGGGTGTTTCTATTCGTTATCGGGCACGTTTCATCGGGAGATTGTCGTCGGATCGCTGACGTCACGGCTACGTGCCGGACCCGTATCGTTACGTTTGAAAAGACTAATCTTGTGCCATATTTTATGTTCTTAGTTTAAATGTTGGTTTGTTGTATGTATATACATTTCTGTGTTTTTATGTGTAATGCTGACGTACGATTATATTCTATCAGATCATGTATCGCATAGTTTTCTTAGCTCTTCCAAGCTGTTTTGTTCGAGTTAATAACAGATTTTTAGCTAAGCTTTTCTCAGTATATTCACGTGAGTAATCCGTGATTTTAGTTAATTCAATATGTCTCACGATAGTTGTTATAAAAATAATAATTATTAATTAAAGGGTGGATGCAAGTGGGGAGTTGTCGTTCGACATAGAGGACCAAGGGGGAGGCCTTTGTCCAGCAGTGGACGTCTTCCGGCTGTTGATGATGGGCTGACTTAGGTGATAGGATTTTTTGGATTAGGTTATAGGATCCCGATTAAATGCTACAATGAGATAAAACAGGTATCATATTCTACACGCACAGAGTCGCGGGCAATAGACAGTTTTAAGTGTGGGAGAGCCATGCTTCGGCACGAATGGGCCGGCTCGACCGGAGTGATACCACGGCCTCACAGAAAACCGACGTGAAGCAACGCTTGCGTTGTGTTTCGCCGTGTGAGTGAGGTTACCGGACGCCCAATTATCCTCCCCTTCCCCAATCTCTCCAATTCCTGAATCCCCAACGATCTTAAAACTCCTAATCCCTAAAACGTCGGTACCGCATTTGTAACGCCTCTGGTGTTTCAGGTGTCCA